TGTGTGTCCCTGCAATTGGGGGGGGAGGGCGTGGAGAGAGACAGAGAGCAATGAGGGATGGAGAGACTGTGTGTGTTCATAAGGTGAGTCCCACACACAGCCAACCATACACATGCACCCACACCACCATGCACTGCTATACACGCAGACCCCCACACCCTCTCTCACACCCCAGACACCCTTCCCCCACCCCCCCACCAACCCCATACTCACCCACGCCTCACATATCCACACACATACCCACATGCTCCCTCACCCCACACTCACACCCCGTCCCCCACATCCCACCTACCCATACACCCACAGCCCTCCACAAACCCATATCCGCCCCCTATTCCCCCCACAACATACAGGAGTAAGGCTTCATTTTAAGCTATTGTGCAATCACCTCTATGTACACTACAAAAACACACATAAATCAGGACAAAAATATTTTTAAATCAAATTAATTAATGTTCTAGATGTTCGATTTTTAAAATATAATTTGGTATTTTTCTGGTTTTAAGATGGCACAACCCCTTGCTGAAAGGAGTACTTCTGGGGGCAAAGGTCAGGTGTGTCTGGGGCAGGACTTCCAGTCACAAGATGGCGAACAGGAGGCAGGGCACCTGTCAGGGGGAAGGGCTACCAAGGCAGCTCTCGACAGCTTTCCAAAACTCAGTAAGCGGCCCTCTGCCTGAAATAATTGCCTGCCCCTGGGTGAGAGGGTGTCCTAATTGTAAGAAAATACAGCATGTTCATTCCTGACAAAATAAAACAAGAGATACAAGCACTTCAAATAACATCTGGTGCAAAAATCTTTCAGTGATGCACTGGCAAAGCCATCTTCTCTGCGCTTTTCAATACTGAGGGAAAATAATGACAAAACACAATTGCCCTTCATATCACTTGACTATGGTGAAGCACATGGCATTCTAATGTTCTAGGCTAGGAACCCAAAGGCACCAAGTATATAGATACCTGCTGTCTGACTGACTGAGAAGGAAAGTAACCAATTAATCCAGATCAGTATATCTGGAGAGTGTGGAAGGCTTACCTATTAACTAATCATATAACTTCTAACATTTCTAATTGGATTGTAACGAAATTCTTGGCACTGATACTACCAAAAAGGAAATCAGAGGAAAAAGTTGCAAATCAAAGTGCAAAGGGAACATAGAGAATAGCTTTCCCCCAGTGGCATACAATACCAGTGACCACCCAAAGATCTATGGCAGTAAGTAGAGACCCATCCCCATGTCTGCTGAAAAAGTGAGAGGAGATTATAACATGCACAAGATGCATGCTGTTGTACTATGTTACCACCCTCAGCAAGAATGAGATTTCCTATTGAAGAAGAGAAAAGTGGGGGACAACCAAAGGAACTAGAAAGTTAATGTATACAAAACCAGAAAGAATAATCTGATCTTAGAAATACCTTACACTGAAGACTTAAAAGAGGGCACAAAAGATGACAGTTCTGTATTTTGCTTTCCCTATGTTTACCAGTTTCAAATAAAAAGGATCTGTGAAAGCTACAAATTAAACACTAGTAACTATGTAATAATCACTAATACACTTCATTTAGGTGCTTAATTAGTAGTGGATACTTTAAGAATAAGACATCCTATTAGAACCTGTGTAACCATTCCTGACAGTTGTCTGCTTGACCCATTTTTGATAAACAAAGCATAGACTACTTGAAGTATTTTTCCTCCTTGTTCATCCTATTCTTCCCTGATCTCTTATTTTATGGTCAGAGGTTAAACTGCTGACCTCTCACCTTCAAGGCAAGTTCTCCTCCACCCCTCTTTTATAAGAAGTTTTCACGGTGTGCAGCATTTGGATTAGCCCCTCTCCTCTTGAACAAAAGCTATGTCTTTGTACTGCTGGTTTGGGCATGGAGTCCATACATCAGAGGAAGCTGCTCCTACTTAACATTCACAATAACTATATTGTGAGGCCCCACTAAAACCTAGCCTCTCAGTGTCTAGACTTTCACCCAACCAGCCAGCAGAGAGAAAATCCTGTAAAGCATTCAACTGAAAATTAACTATGGTATCCTGTTGTGAACCTGATGAAGATGTTATTTGAACATACGGTAAAACTTTCCGTTGTTTAACATAAAGATAAGAAAAAAACTTTTAGAACCCCAAGCTTTAAACAGTCATTGGGACTGATTCACTCATGGATCAGTAAATGCATTTTATTAGCATGCAACTACTGCCCTATGCACTCCTTCAAAATAATAGACTGATTATTAAATGAAATTCTATACCATAGTATTTGGAAATGTATTCAGCCTAATTTTTATATAATCTAATCTAGGAGTACATTAAACTAAATCAAAATACATGCTGAAAACACTGAATTTCTTACAGATTCAAACAAAGAGTATTACATCACTATTATACTTGCATATCTGTAAAACATGATTTTAGAAAGTAACACAATTTGTATAAGAGAAAAAAAATAGAAATATGACAACAAAAGATTTTTATAGCTTTCAGCTACAAATATCTAGAAGTAAACAGATGCCAGCTGTAGACAATTGAATAATGCAGGAAGCAAGGATTTGTTAGGGTGATATCTTTTATTGAACCAACTATGTAACCAGAATAAAATTAGACAAGCTTTTGAATGGAAAACATTCTTCATTAAGTGTCACATCATTTCTGGACCATCACAACTACAACATTACTCTTATACTACTGTATTATCTAATAACAAATAGTGCTATCTGGACATCATTTTTTATTTTTTATTTTTAACACTGCTTCTTTGTAATACCATTACAGTTTCCATAATATAGTAATATCAGATCACTAGCAACACAAATATATTCTTTTTTATGACACTTCTCAAGAGCAGGCTGTAAAAAAAAATGAGATCCTGAATAATTTAAAATATTTGAATAATTAAGAAAAATATTCATTCTATAGAAACATATACTCCATATCATAGGCTGACAAACTGCATTTCTGCATGGTCCATGCGATCAGTGACCATTTCAAGAGAATCCTGCAAACCCCTAAAAGAGAAATTATTGTGGACATGTGATACAAAAGATGGAAGGGATGCAGGTATTTCAAGAAAGACTGAATTGAGATTGGGCACACCTCTTGAAGCTCTTTTTTATAATGCTTTATAACTCATGTTTTAAGTTTTGAAAGTTCACAAGAGATCACAATTTAAACTAATTTTACAAAATGTTTGCTAAATGTTTACTATTTTTTTCTGGAACTAATATTTCTCAGGAATAAAAGTGTTACAGTAAGTACCATTCAGCCTCCCTCTCCATAATGCCCAATATCTCAAGAACTGTTGGAGTTGGAACAAATGCTGTATACATTCTGCAGTATAAAAAGTTTGAAATCCCAAGTTGCTCTTGGTGTTTGAGAGGACATCTGAAGTTAAAAGAAAAAGAGAAAAAAAAATGGAGTTAAATTGGAAGTGGAAAAAAAAGCTATATTTGGAATGACTGATTATAAAGATTGATGTAGTACACTATATATTCAGTTTGAACTCTGTGGAACTGCAAAACTCAAAACCTGTTTCTGTTTCATGTTCAAGAAGAACAATAACGTAACGACACTAAGTGGACATATTGTTAGACATTGAAAAAGGTCATTAATTTGACAGTTTTGTCAACTGAATTTGAGTATTAGATCTATTCAAAGTCAGCTATATCTGCCAATCTGGTGTCCAAAGGTCTTTCCAGGATATGCTAGGTCAGTGCTTTTCAACCGGTGTGCCGTAGCACACCAGTGTGCTGTGAAGAGCTCCCTGGTATACTGTGAAAATTCTGGAATAACAAGAAGAATGTTTCCCAGCCTCCTAGCACTTACAAATCAGCTGCATCAATGAGACATTCACAGAAGACTCACGTTGTGTTGGCTGTGGGGGGAAAGAGAAGAAGCAGAGCAGAACTCAACTCATCTACTGTGCCGGCTGTGGGGGATGCACAGTTCGTGAGCCTCTGAATAGCTGTGCCGTGGAATCTTGCCTCAGCAATGAGCTACAATTAGCTCATAAATATAGGGATAGGGAATGCTTTAAAAGGTGTGCTGCAGAAAATTTTTATTAATGGAAGTGTGCCTTGGGCAGGAAGAGATTGGGAAAAACTGTAATATGTGAATGAGCCACAGCCGAAGGACAAATACGAAGTTTCCTTGAAAGAGTCTACATATCTGAAAGGAAAGGGTAGGGTCCTTTGCAGCATACCTAAAATTTCTGTAGTTTTATTTCTTAATTTTAAAATATTAGCATGAACTGGAAATACTAGAGAGGTCTCCTCCTCATACCAGGAATAAGTTCCTTATCTGCCCTCTGTCAGCTACTATCCCTAAGACTCCTTCATGGCAGCTGCAGGAGGAAAGTTGCATGAAGAAGTCCTGCAACTACTATGGAAAGCCAAGAAGCAAATACTGTTAGGTGAAACATAAGCTTCCAACCATGCAGCCAGCATGGGTGGTCACTAGGGAGGTGAAGGACTGAAAACACGCACATACTCAATAAAAACGAAGCAAGCACCACATACACAACACTGTTTCTCTATTCAACAAAAGACTGGTAGGCTCATATTGGGTGACAGCTGACACTGTTGCCAGCATTCTTTTTAAGAAAGTGAGAGTCAGGAAGCATAAGAACAAACTACCTTGATATTTTCTGAAATTACTGACATTTTACATGAGTCAGCATCCAATAAAAATACATTAATACATGTAAATATATTGTATTTGTATTAATACATTTAAATGTAATGCACACGGAAGTACTGAAATTCTGGATTTGCTATTTGAGAAAGAGAGTTTGGTTCATTCACTCCAAAGACTACACGTCTGAGATTGTTGGTGATGCAGGTCACAGCCTTTAATCTACACCATAGAAAAACCAAGCAGAAATTAAACATCACCTAGGATGGAATCTCACTGCCTAAGCACCCAAAACCCATGCGCTTGGGGGTTACATTTGACTGAACACTTACCTTCAATGCATACGTAGAAGACATGAAAGGGGATGTCAGCACCTGCAACAACACGCTTAAAAAGTTGGTCACCTCAAAGTGGAGAGTGAAACCAACTACATTATGAACTACTGCTACTGTCTTGTGTTACTCCACTGCAGAGTATGTATGTCCAGTATAGGAACAATCAGTTCATGCCAAGAAACTAGACCTAGTTGTAAACAACAGTTGTTGTGAAATAACAGGATGTCTAATGCAAAAGGATACGTACGTACTGGCTGGCATTGCACCACCTGATATCAGAAGAAAGGTGGCAAGCCCAAAAGAAAGATCATGGCAGATGGAAGACCCCAAGCATCCACTTTACGGTCACAAAGAAATAATCAAATGGCTTAAAGCGCAAAAGTTTTTGTTTGGAAATGATGGCTGATAGGACACAACTGAGGTGACAGAAGGAAAGAATATGCACAACCAGATGCCCTGAAATGGACCTGGAACCCAAGGAGGACCTTCTCAGAGTGGCTAATACACACTGGTCAACATGGCAATGCCTGAACCACCTATGCATGCAAACTGGAAGATCAAAAACAAAAGTGGTCAAATGGGGTTATTCTAATGATATGAAAACATGCAAATGTGGTGAAGTACAAACCATGGAGCACCTGCTCATTTGCCGACTCCTTGGTAAGACCTGTATGAAGGTGGACCTTGCTGCAGCAATGGAAAGAGCCATCACTTGAGCATGATTCTGAAAAAACATCTAGTTATGACAAGGACATGAGAAGAAGAAGATTTTAAAGATTTACATAACTTACAGGAGAGTAGGTATTGCAAATATGTCCCCAGACCCGCCAAACTGCAGCTGCCAGCTGGGCAGCACCTGCGCCAACCCCACTCTCTCTTTCACAGCAGGGGCCTTGATCTGCTCCCACCACGCCCCTTCACTCCTCTTCCACCACAACAGACTTACCAGTTGAACGCAGCTCTCCAAGCTGCTGGGCTGTGCTCCTTGCTGCCTACGTGCTGCACTGCAGCTGCGCACATACACAGGGCATTTATCGGGCACATTACTGGCCATATCAGACAAAAAAAGCCAATTTCCAATACAGACAATTGGTTTATATCGGTGACGATCCAATATCAGATGAATGTATCACTGCACCGCTACCAGGTATGTATGAATAGAGGTAGCAGTCTTGAACTAAGCTAATAAGAGTTATAGTGCTGAGATTATGGATAGATAAATATATATGTTAACTACTTTAAAAAGGGATGGGAGGTGCCACTCAAGAGTGACTGAGCTGTTAATATACGATGGTTACTATATTTACTCAAATCCAAGATAAGGGTTTTTTTCTCCCACTCATCATGGAAAAAAGGCCCTCATCTTGGATTTGAGTACTGGAGGGAGAGGAAAGCAGGTGGCTGCTGCAGCTGACTCCATCCCTGAGCCAGTCAGACCCACAGCAGCCACCTGCTCCACCCCTGCCGGCCTTCTGCAGCCTCTTCCCCACCTCACTCCATAACAACTTACTGTCAGGCATGGCTCCAGATCTAGTGGATTCCTTCCTGGGGTATGAAGCCCCAAGAAACCCCTGGCCAATCAGCAGCAGCACCGCTCCAGCTCCAGGATGTTGCTGTGTGGCTGGGCAGGGGCTGCACTTCTTGTGCTCCATGAAGCAGAACTGCATTTAACAGGGAATGAGGGAGGGGGGACAGGAAGAGGAGGAGGTGGCAGAGGCTGTGGGGAATTGGGGGTGCAGAAGGGACAGAGGCTGTGGGAGTGGGGAAAGGGCAGAGGCTGCAGGACAGGCAGGCAACAGGGGGTGCAGATGATGGGGGGAGGGGACTGGCAAGCTACAAGTAGAAGGAGGGAGGGGCAGAGATTAAGGGGGACACCTGCTGCTCCAAACTACCTTACCTCCC